GTGTGTATATGAGTGTGAGACTGTGTGCACATAACTCTGCAAAACTATACACCCGCATTCACACACAGGCCTAAATGCATGTTTTTATCTGAATTAAATAACTGTAACGGCACCCTGGTATAGCAGGGGTAAAAGCCGTTTGAGATATTCCCTTCCCGAAACCAAAGGCAGCTACCGAACACTCTAATCAGCCGAACAAGCAATCATATGAAATCCATACTCCAAACAGTCGAACAGGAAAACCATACGAATAATCCCCCCAAGTACGAGACAAGGCTCTGTATTGAGGGTCAAGCAGGAATCTGGTTTAATGTGGGCTACCTGCCCGGTGTTTATGCAGGTCTTCCACCAGGTGGACACACCCCTAGTGGACCTGTTGGAAAACTGTGACAAATATGATACAGTAGCCAATCACAGTGTTGCAGGCATAATCACTCCCCTTTAGCTGTATAGGACCCTCCTCTCTATACTGGAGATAATTGGGAAGTAACTCAATTATCTCCGAGGATAGAGGCAAAACTCAATTTTATACATGGTAATAAAAACACATAAAAATATATAATATAAAAACTACTGAATGAAATAGGCACATTTAACGTATCCCCAGATAGCCTAGATCTGTGCGCACATTATTACCGAATGACGCTCAGATCACATACATACAGTTCAATCGCCATGGAGCCAAAATCTTTCACATAGTCTTTCCGTTATACGACTGGGCTCCATGGGATAACTATGTGGGGTGGCTCCGTTCGTATGAAAATGTACCGAATGGACGACGTTCATATGAAGGGGGAACAGATGAAGGGAGGTTGGCGGCTTTCAGCGGTGTTCGTAGAAAAATAGTAGCCATTTTTAGTTCCACGAAATAGTCGACAAACACCGCTGGACGTTCGCATGTCCAAGATGGCCGCCGCCTAGTGTTCGTTCATACGAACGATGACCAGCCAGCCGACCATTAACAAGGGGAAGTGTCTGCAGTTAACCACAACGTTCTAATGAGGCCACTGCTGGGTGGCCAGCCATTCGGCAAATAGTTCGGTAAAACGGGGAAATAACATGGGGACCGTACGGACAGGGAAATGCACGAACAAACAGACAAATGAGCATAAAATACAAGTAATTCTAAGACAGAGGGATCTGTCACAATAACCATCACACACAGCCAATAAACCCAGCACAAATATCACATACAACCAATACACGCATATCACACACTGTTAATACACCCATTACAAATATCACACACAGCCAACACATAGCATACATATCTCACACAGTCATCACATCTATCACATACACAGACAACACAAACATTACATCATACATGGATGAAAGGGGGGGGGGGGCGCGTGGTGAAGATTTTTCGCACAGGGCACCTAAAGGCCTAAGGCCGGCCCTGTACAAACTAGTAAAATTATTCACTGTCTAAATATCTTAGAAGTAGTATTTAAGGTATTGAACCGTTGGTACCTGTTCCCATCAAAAATGGCAAAAATGTATAATTCTAGTTCACCGATATGCTGGAGATGCATCAAAGACGAAGGATCTTTTCTGCATATGTGGTGGGATTGTGAGAAAGTGAAAGAGTTCTGGTTACTGGTCCTCAGTGGATTAGAGAGAATAATAGGGAAAACAATTCCTAGAGGTCTACAAAATATTTTACTACAACTTAATTTACAAACATTACAATGTAAGGAGATATATATATGTACACTTTGTGGCTGCAGCTAAATTAACTATTGCTCGAAAATGGAAGTGTTCAGAGAATTTTGAATATGAACAATTAAAAATACAAATTCTATACCAACTAAGGATGGAAGCTTTAATGTTTATGCCCAAAAAAACCTGGAGCTATGTAGATATTGGATGGAGAGAACTGGGAGTGTGAGTAACATTTCCCGAACAAAAGACTTAGAATAAGATAAATTATATTAGTGTCAAAGTTTATTAATAGCTTAACAGAAGATCCACAACAAAGCCCCAAAGGTGTTAATGTAATGTAATATAAGTAATGTAAGTGTTGTATGTCGCATTGAATTGTTTACTGTTTTATAGTTGGATACAAGTAGTGCTGCGACCCTCAACGCAATTGTCTTTTTGTCGTATGGAAATAAAAATAAAAATTATTGAAAAAGAAAAAAAAAAAAAAGATGTGGCGGTTATAGTAAGTGTGAATTTATAAGGATGGCTTACACCTGCAATTTTTCTTAGTATGGCATTCAGGATCACAATAAACATCACAAGTGTGAAGATGCAAATCTTCCAAATCTTCAATCACTTAAACCTTATAAAATACATAAAGTGTAAAACCATATACTCCAATATAATATAAACCAAATATTGCACTCACAAACGTAGGATGCCAGAAGGTGCCACACATATAGTTGTGCTCGCTCAAAAGTTTGCATACCCTGGCAGAAATTGTGAAATTTTGGCATTGATTTAGAAAATATGACTGATCGTGCAAAAATATGTCTTTTATTGAAGGATAGTGATCATATGAAGCCATTTATTATTACTTAGTTGTTTGGCTCCTTTTTAAATCTCAATGATAACAGAAATCACCCAACTTGTCCTGGTCATAAGTTTACATACCCTTACATGTTTGGCCTTGTTACAGACACACAAGGTGACACACACAGGTTGAAATGGCAATTAAAGGTTAATTTCCCACACCTGTGACTTTTTAAATTGCATTGAATGTCTGCTTTCACCTGGATGCACTGAGCAGACTAAACAGGAGCTAAAGAGGAGCTGCAGGAAGAAGGTGACAGCACCCGAAATGGGCATGTTCAGGTAAGTATAACTCACCTTCCCTTGCATCCCCTCTAAAACCTCACTGCCAGTGGAGCATTCACCATTGCCAGGCACCCTTCCCCTCTCCACCTACTGCCTCTGTGAGAGTTTAAGCTTTCTGCCAGAGTTAAGCCCAGTAGAGGAGCAGGCAGTGAGCAATGCCTGATGGACCCTAGATAGGAAGTCAAGCCATTCTTACATTGGGGTGGGGGTGGGGGGCTTGTACCAGGGCACTCCTGGCGCTATAACCTCTACAGCAGTGGTGCCCAAAAGGTAGATCCCCAGATGTTGTCGAACTACAAATCCCAAGTATCATTGAAGCTGTAGTTTTAAAACATCTGGGGATCTACATTTTGGGCACCCCTGCTCTACAGCATATTGTGCTATAATGGTTATGGTGCTTGCAGTGTTTCTTTGACTTTATAAAGTGGCAGTTTCTGTTTTATAAATTAATAAATGATTGCTCGTGGTAATGTCCAAAAAGTAAATGTTTTTCCTATTACAATATTTTATCTTCTTCTGTCCACCAAAGTATCTACTTCTTCTGCCTCACCTTGATGTCTACAGCAGGCTGTGTCATTTGTCGGGAAAGCAAACAATCACCGGTGGTACTAAGCAATGCAACAGTGGACAAAATACTAGAGCTGTGACTCAGGATTCATGGCCATTGGGTGAATCAAGGTGAGTGAGGATTCTCTGTTAGATTGCTGCTGACAAAGTTATCCCCTGAGTATTAGGATGAGTGTTTTACACCTCTGTTGTTATCACCCACTGTGTATTTTTGTTCTAGAACTAAAGATGTTTCTAGTCTTGGGAAAAAAAGAGAATTGCACCTACTGCAACAAAGAGGACGAACACAGTAATAAATGGACTTTATTTCAGTGCTGTCCAAACGATTTAACGTAAAAAAAAAATCTTTGCCATCAGTAACCTTTCCTTCGCCCACTTGTTGAAGTGCACTCATAAGCTGTTTCCCCAAGATTAACAACCCCTGTAAAATTGTATTACAATTTGAACTGACTACCCAGAATCCACATGTCTGAACTTTACTCCCACATGTTCAGATGAGGAGTAAACTCATGGCCAAAAGCCTGAGATGTTGTTTCTGAAGAACTATGAATTAACTTGGGCTGAGACAGATGTCAGTGTCTCCCGTGTAATCTCACTTATTAATGACTTGAGGGAATTCTCAGAGAAAACATTATAGTTAGTAAGATGGTAACAAGAATATAACACGGACTCCAGCAAACTTCCAAATATCTCGTCCAAAGATACATTGATCTGCTAGTCATGGCTTAAGGATTAGAAACACTGTTCTAGGTGCCATGTTGCTCTAGTCCACCACACTATATAACTGCATCTTGGGCTGTATAGGTGGCCGAGACCCTATTACATCTAGTTGCCCACTCTGTCCTGGAAACCAGGCATTAAACAATGCTTTATCCGAGTAACCCTCACCAACATCATCTTAATATGTCTATCTTTTGAGTACCACAGAGTTTTGTATTCACATGGACCAAACATTGGAGTATATTTATACAAAAAAGCAAGTCCTGCGCTCAAACTCCCATCACTCCTAGGTGGCAGCAACGACCGTAGTACACATCAGCCCCAATACATACAGTAAAAAACAAAGAAATAAAGTTACCTGTGCTCTCTCCTAAATCCCTATGTATATTTAAACAAATGGAGGTTATTTAGTTACTCCAATGGCCATTGGAGGGAATGCCCGCCTGCCAACGTCAAGGCAAACCTCTTAAGCGGGTCCTACACTGACCTTTCACCCTGCTTCACTGAACTTCTGGCAAAGATATCTCTAATGAAACAAAGAGTGGTATTTTTTTTTATATACACCCCTACATACTTATCAACCCTTAATGTACGAGTATATATAAAAAAAATACCCCTATCTGTCTCATTAGAGATATCTTTGCTATAAGCTCAAGGAAGCAAGGTGAAAGGCCAGTGTAGGACAAACCTGAGAGGTTTACCTTGATGTTGGCAGGTGGGCATTCCGTCCAATGGCCATTGGAGTAACTAACTAACCTCCATTTGTTTAAATATACATAGGGATTTAGGAGAGAGCGCAGGTAACTTTTTTTCATTGGAGTGTATTTAATCTAAATTCCTTATGGAGGGTAAGGAGCACTAAGCAATCCAATATTTTTTTTACTTTTTATTTTGCTGAAATATATGAAGCTAGGAAGATGATTATGTCCCATTGGCAGGAAGTCCAAGCTGTAGAAGCATCTTTGCATTCCAGACCAAACGGTAGCATGCGTAGATATAGGAATGAGATTAATTAGCGTGATGTGCAGAGGTTCAGCTTTACTTTATCAGCTACATATGTGGTGATACGAGGCCATGACAGCCAGTGACAGCTCCCCGATGCTAGTTAAAGCTGACATCGTTATAGATGATCTCAAGACATTCAGATTTTGTTTGGTTTGAACTTCTTATTTTCACCGCTGAGTAGATAATGGTCTGTAAAAGGAAAACACAAATCATGTGTATTAGATCTGCCATCATCACCCGGCTTTTATAATGTCAGTAACGGAACAAGCCAAGTCCGCCCACAAGGATGAAGTGTGTGTAGAATGTGTGTAGTGGATGGGGTATGTGTGTCATGTATGCAGTGTGTACAGTGGATGCAGATTGTACATTTTGTGTAATGTCTATAATGTTTGTATGCATTAGATGCAGAGTGTGTGTGTAGTGAATTTAGGTGTGTATAGTGAATGCAGAGTGTGAGTTTGTGTAGTGGATGTAGTTTGTGTATAGTGAATGCACAATGTGTGATTGTATAATGATTGCAGAGTGTGTTTTTGTAGTGGATGTAGTGTGTGCATAGTGAATGTAGTGTGTGTAGTGAGTGCAGAGTGAGTTTAGTTAATGTAGTGGATGCCGAGTGTGTATAGTGAATGTAGTGTGTGTAGTCAGTGCAGAGGGTATAGTGAGTGTTGTATGGTGAAGTAAGTGCAGAGTGTGTATAGTGAATGTAGTGAATGCAGAGTGTGTATAGTGAATGTAGTGTGTCTGTAGTGAGTGCAAAGTGGGTTTAGTGAAGATGGTGTGCTTGTAGTGAGTGCAGAGTGTGTATAGTGAATGTAGTGTGTGCAAAGTGTGTTTTGTGAATGCAGTGTGTTTGTAGTGAATGCAAAGTGTGTATATTGAATGTAGTGTGTGTAGTGAGTGCAGAGTGTGTACTTGTAAGGGTGCAGTGTGTTTGTAAAATAGGGGGAGAAGCATTTTTAAAATACATTTTATTTATGTATATTTCATATTATTCTCCCCTCCCTGCTTCTTACCTTGCCAGGGAGGGGGGAGATCACATTGTTGAGGGAGACTTCAGTGCCCCTTGAAGCTTTAGGCACACTGTAGCATCTACAGAGAAAGTCTGTAACATGCTCAGTGTTGTGGACAAAAATATGAACTCAATATATGTTAGTAAAATGCCTATTTACTCAGCATACCTACAATCAGCATTATTCAACTTAATTTGTGATTTACCTAAAATGGCCACTAGGGAGTTTCCCTTTGACATCGACTAACACCCTCACTAATAAGATGGCGCTGGAATCCTCGGGAGACCTCCAAGATACCAGTGACATCACACGCGGTAGGAAGAGCAATAAATGAACCACTTAACACCTAACCAATTATTGATGTATTATTTCATGTTATCTCTGACAAAGCATATGATGTACACACTCTGCACTCACTACACACACTACATTCAATATACACACTTTGCATTCACTACAAACACACTGCATTCACAAAACACTTTGCAGAATAAACATTCCTCAAGTTTTTCATTAACCCGAAACCTGTGTCTGGTGTGAATTACTTTAGGAGCGTGCACGCACTACTTCTTTAATTTGGCCGGGGGCAGATACACAAGATAATCAATTAATTGATTGATTCCACATCATTTGGCGCCCAACGTGGGGCACTGGATTTCGCTGGTTCGGATGGCCAGAAAACGGGACCGGAGCGGACCTCCGGAAAGTGGGACAGTCGGAGCCTGATCACCTCCTAAATACAGCGGTTTGCCTGTATTCTCCTGTTTTGTGCCGGTCTGTCTTCATGTCCACTTCCGGCTTCCAGAAGGCTACAAGACATGTAATCCCTTATCCGGTGCCTTTTAAAACGAACCTGTTGATTGTCTATCTGCCTCCTGAGTGTATGTATGCGTGAGAGACAGCTGGTGTGTGTTTTATTACTTTTTTTATTATTATAGCTTGACTGCCTAGCGGGCTGGGAACCGCCTAGAGAAAGGCTGGGAATAGTGTCCGCCCGTTAAAGGGCTGGGATCCGCCTAGAGAAAGGCTGGGAATTTTGCTGTACTGTTCAGAGTAGAACAGGGCTTTATTTGCTGTTTAGTCGTTACTATGCTCGTTGTTATACTGTTCTTTATTATTTTTTGGTTTCTATTCAGTTATAGCCATAGTGTGGGTACCCTAGTTGTGTGGCTCATCCTTGATTCCTGATTATGTGCACATCTCTACATCTGTGACTCATGTAAATGTCTTCTGATTAGTCTCTCCACGTTCACCTTTTCCCTTATTCTCTACCTCTTCTGTACTTGCTGCCCAGAGCTGTGTTAGTCATCCACGCTCGCCCACTCAGATCCGTGGCCACCATCTTGGGTGGGCGGATCCCGTGACTAGTCTACGTTTTGGGAAGACGCACGAGGACCAATTCCTTGTGGCAGTCGAGCACTGTAGACATTCCTTCTATTTCTTCTCTCTCTCTTTGTCCCTCATACGTGGAAAGCCTTGTTTGGTAAAAATGGGACAAGAACATGCCAGACCTTCTAAAGGCTATTTAGCTTGTGATATTGTTAAGGAGAGAGAAGGGGAAGAGGCTATGTTAAAAATGAAGAAGATAGCAAAGATTTGTGGTTTTCAAATGTCAACCAGTGGTAGATTACAACCAGTGTTTTGGAGGAAATTACTAGTTGATAAAGAGGGTTTGTTACTGGATAGCGGGTTAACGAAAGCCGTAGAGGCTTCGTATCGGGTAGCAAGTGGTCTCAAGCGGGAGGGTTGGTCAGAGGAAGAACTAGATTTTGAAGGACAAACATTTATGTATATCACAGAAATGTTTGCAATGATGATTCATCTCCCGCTGTTCCCCTACCACCGCCCTATGATGGCGCCCAGAGCACTGTGAATGAATCTCGCCCCACCTCCCCCGTCACTACCCAGTCACCACCTCCAGGTAGCATAGGCTCCTCTGTCCCAACCCCTCTGTACCCCGTCCTCGGGGTGGATGGATCTTATTATTATCCCTTCCCTCTCCCTCCTCATCCCACCATTCCCATTCCCATTACCCCAGCCCCTCTCCCAGTTCCCTCTGGTCCCGTCTCTCTTCCACCTTCCATTGTCACTGCCGATCCTGTCCTTCTACTATCTCCCCCCGTCACTTCTTCGGATGTTACCCCTCTCCCATTCTTTCTATCATTCCTCCTATTCCTGCTACCCTCCCATCTTCACATGCTGCCTCCCCTGTCACCCCCCTCGTTCCTCTCCCTGACATTCCTTCTATTCCTGTTCCCCTCCCGCCTCCACCCGTTGTTCTCCTCGTTGCATCTCCCTCTGCCGTATCTCCCTCTCCCCTTACTATTCCCTCTATTCCTACTCATCCCTCTCCTTCCCCCATCACCTCTTCTGTTCCAGTTTCAGATTCACCTCCCCTTCCCACCCTGTTGCCCCTCCCTCCTTTGATCTCTCGTCACTTATATCCGCCCTCTCTACCTCCAGTGCCACTTCCTCTTCTCCTCCACCTCCCTCTCCTCTCGCCACCGCCCCCTCCGTCCCAGTTCCCATCCCCTTCCTATCTCTAACCCCGTTGTCCCTCCTTCGATCTCTCGTCACTTATTTCTGCCCTCTCTGCCTCCAGCGACACTCCCTCTACTCCTCCACCTCCCTCTCCTCTTCCCGATTCCCATCCCCTTCCTGTCTCTAACCCTGTTGTCCCTCCCTCTTTTGATCTTTCATCACTCGTTTCCACCCTCTCCGCTCATTTGCCTCAGCCTACCCAGCCGCCCCCTCGCCCATTCCAACTCCTGTCTCCACTTCCCTCATGACGGTTCCCAGTTATCCGATTATGGTAGTTGGTTCGAATGAGTCTACCATGTCGGGACAACCTCACGGTGTAGGCATTTCTCCTGCACTGCCTCCCAGTTAGTTACTCCCCAGGCCATCGCTGTCGGTTCACCCGGCTCCGATGCTCCAGCTGCTCAAGCCCCTAATTCACGAGATGTTGCCAGCTATCGTGGTCTCCCATTTCTGGTCCCTTCGGAGGATGACAATGTGCAGGGGCTCAGCCCATTCCGTCCTTTGGATAATAGGATTTCCCAGAGACAGGGCACCCATATCCATGCCTTATCATCAGTAGAAGGGGCCCCCTGATGTATGTTACTTTCAATCCCTCCCAAGCTGCAACACTAGTAACCTCTCTCCCCAACCCTGAGAAACAACCCATGCCCTACTTCTGTAGGATTGCCCAGATTCGTAAAACATACTCAGCAGCCTGGCGTGATCTGTATAGTCTGTGTGAGATCAAAGCTGGGGATGCTTATTGGCCCATTATGGAAAGGAGTTTTAATGATGCTCTCCTCACTACCAACATGGATTTCCAGTCGGGTATTACTTTCTGTGAACAGCTTCGAGCCTGGGATCAGGATAAACTTGACATTATACAAGATAAACTCGAGTCCGTGGAGAAGTACCATTCATGCTTGACCGAAACCTTCTCAGACCTTGGGTTCAGTGTACACAACAAAGCACATACCCAGATGTTATCTGCTGCCTTTGTTGCAGGCCTTAAGGAAGCCATTAGGAAAGGCCTAGTGCTCTCCCGTCCCCAATATAGAATTATTCCTCTGGATACTCTCTTACTAGTTTCCAAAGGCCCCACTCCGTTCCCCCCAGGATATCCTGTGTCATCTACCCTGCCAGCTGCACAGGGACAGCCCATGATACCTCAGACTAGGACATGCTTTAATTGCAACCAACTGGGCCATTTCCGGAGAGATTGCCTTCACCCCAGGGTGCCTAGACAGCCAACCACTAGACCGTCTAATCCTGTGTTCGGCTATCCTATGTACCCCAATGCCCCTGCAGCCACTTATGGTTGCTTTCCTCCACAGGTACTCCCACCTCCCCAGGCAAATACTTCATATTTCCCTTCTCAGGAATATGCCCAAGCCGTATACCAACCCTCTCCAGCAGATACCCGCAGCTATGCTCACCCTTCCCCTGATTGTTATGATACTCCCACCTCTGATGCTCGCCTTCAAGATTTCTTGAGGGTTGCACCGTTCCTGTGGAACTTGCTTCCCTCCTCCGTTAGATGCTCACCCAGTCTCCACTCCTTCAAAAAATCGTTAAAAACCCACTTCTTCATAAAAGCATATCAATTAAACTGTTAATAGCTCCTGAC